AAGCATCAGAAATGAAGCAGCATGCGTATGTCTGCTGCTTTTGGTCTGATGAACGTAGCTTTATTCTTTGAGATGTTCCTAATGAGGAATGAAGAACCGTTCCACCTCTTCTGTTTTCCAGGAGTTGATCAGGAAAGGCATTCCCCATCATTTCCGTGCCATCGTTTGGCAACTGCTGGGCAACGCCACGGACATGCCGGTGAAGAACCAGTACTCGGAGCTGCTGAAGATGTCGTCTCCCTGTGAGAAGCTGATCCGCAGGGACATCGCCCGCACCTACCCGGAGCACGAGTTCTTCAAAGGCCAGGACAGCCTGGGTCAGGAGGTCCTCTTCAACGTCATGAAGGTGAGCGCCGCCGCTTTCCATTCACAGGTTTAACGTTTGGGAAACGGTTTCCAGTCTGGATGTTGGTGACGTTTGTTCAACACATCAAAGGTCTTCAGACGCCTAATCTTTATTTCACATCCAGCAATCCCAGCTGAAGCTAGTTTACTTTAGGTTACGCACAATCACATTAAAAAATACTGACGGTAAAATAAAATATGTTACAGTTAAAAACAGCAAGGACAATAATATACCAGAATAATTATTGAAACACCCAGATTTAAACATCTAAACTAGCTTAAACTTCTTCATGTAACAAATCATCTGTTAAAAAAGGAGTTTCCAAACTCTTTACTCAAAATGGAAACCTTAAAGGGCCTGTTTGATACAAAACCCACTTTAATGAGTTTTTAATTATTTATAAAGCTGTTCTTCATCTAAATCATGGAGAAAGTAGCATTCTGCGTGATTGAAGCATCTCTGAATGATGGAGGTCTGCCTGCAGGGGGCGCCTGCTAGCAGCAACCTCTCTTCTTTTTCAGCTCTCATGGTGAGAGCTTCTTCAGTAGTAGTGCACGGATACGGCAATGTGGTGAATCTGTTAGACCAATGAGGATGAGCTTTACTTTACACCAGCTCACCAGAGATTAAGGTAGGAGGGGCCAGTTGTAGGTCAACCCCCCCCACCCCCAGAGGAGGGCCGCTCCCCCACTGGGCATCCCCATGGCGCCGTCAGAGAACCAGGGAAACGCCCACATCCTATGCTAGACGTCAGAAGCTCTGCACCAGGCAAACCTTGTCCTCCAGGATTCATATCAAAAGCAGCCGAGTCTCTGGTTGGTTGGTTTCACCCTGAACACGCTATGATCACCGCTGCCAAATGGCTGCAGACTTCCCTGCAGCTCCCAGCAAAATCCCCTCCTTCTTCCAGCCACTGTCCTTCTCCTGGACGTGAATATTGTTTTACTCTGACTGCATCCTTTAACTGAATTACAGCGTCTGACCAGCAGATGGCGCTTCTCTTTACATCTTTATGTCCACAAATCATGACAGAATATTTTAGTACGAGGATTGATGTTTAAAAGGAACTGTAGGGGAGCAGCTAAGGACTTTTATCATTTTAAATAGAACACATTTGCATTTTCCACCATTTTTATTTATTTTGCGCTGCGCTGAACCTTCCTTATCATTCCTACAATAACTCAAAGTCTCCATCTAAGCAGCTGATCTGATCCATAATCTCTGGAATATTCCAGCTTCCACCTTTTTATTGTTCTTCTTCTTTGCTTTATTTCCAGGCGTACTCCCTGGTGGACCGAGAAGTGGGCTACTGCCAGGGCAGCGCCTTCATCGTTGGTTTGCTGCTAATGCAGGTACGCATCTGATTACACTATTTCTACATCTACTTCAACTGCTTCTCCTTTTCTATTCTTTTTTTTTCAAGCATTAAATCAAGCAACTTTAGCAGCTTATGTTTGTTTAAATAGGAAGGAAAGGAAAAGTTTATTTTCAAAATAGTAATTTAAAAGAAAAAAATGAAAACTGGAAAGTGTGGCATTCACATGTTTTCCTCCAGGTTGACTTTCAGCCGGTGGTCGTCAGACGTTTTTACAGGACAGTCTATTTAGATGTTTTTAGGAGTGATGGCGGTCGGGCTTCACTGCTGCTCTAAAATCAGAAACATTAACTTAAATTCACAACCTAAACTTTAATTCTTTTCTTTCCAACTTTATTCATTTACTCCAAACTTCTCTTCATTCTGTAAAGTTTGGGTTCGCTGCCTCCAGTACGGTGAATAGTGAACGGCCTTTCATCAAGTCGGAGGACTTGATCAAACTGGTGTTATCACTTTATCCACTCGTGTAAAGTCGGGCGCCACTCGGGAGGATTCTAAAATGCAACGATTTGAACGGCCGCTTCCCTACGACTTTAAAGTCGCGCATCCGCTGTGCGATGTTTTCAGTCATTGCCAATCAAATTGTCAGGGCGGGCTTTATACGATGATGGACAGATGATCAACAGTAACGTAATCAACCA